CCCTGATTTATTACATTTGACGTTGTCATTTTAGTTCATGTTTGATTGCTATAATTGTAGGTAAACAGTCATCTAACCGTGAAACACCGATTTTCATGAAGTTACGGATTGTGATTTATAAATTTAATCTTAATTCTCAAAAAAAAAATCATTTGCATTATTGCTTCAAATTCATGCGAGAAGTGCGACGGCACAATTTCAAAACCTGAAAGTATTTAAACATGAAACCAACCCCTAAAAAATTAATTATTTAATGTCATACATTTTGGGTTTTTCAATACACAAATAAAGCAATATGCTACTTAATGTGAAGCAATCAAACTATTTGGAATTTATAAGATTTGCCTAACAATTACATAACAGCGAAGGGAGACTGTTCTTAAACACAAACAAAGCATGTTAATTGTGTCTTACAAAGATTCTGCAAATGTAATTTCTGCTTTCTCCCATTTTTTCTCTTCCATTCTATCATTTAAGTTTGATTTAATCATCAAATCAAACTGTCAATTTTAGTCTATAAATAGAATGATACCGATATCCGTACGTTTGACAGCCTGAAAAGTCATATTAGGAATAAGCATATTAGTAGCTGGAACGTCTACGGTGAACTGTGTGTACAATCTAAGTTTAAGTACATTTACATACATACAAAGTTTGCTGGACTAATATTCTTCTGACAATGTGTGTATGACAAATTGTTGGTTGTTCCTATTAATTGAAAATAAAAATGAAAAAAACGAACTTTTTTTTATTTTTAAATCTTTTAGATATGGTATGTACTTCATTAGATAATAACTTAGTATATGAAATAAAACAATAGATTTCCTACGATGTGTTCTAACTTGCACTTCAATGGTTGGACTTTGCTCATGTTTACTGCGATAAGAAAATCGATCTTTTGCATATGCAAATATAAAAATAAAAGTTTTTTTAGAAAACTTCAGATAAAACAGAAATTGGCAAACAATAGACAATACTGTAAGCGAAAAAGACGCATAAAACTACATCTGAAATATACATGTTATACTATTTGAAAATAAACACAAATAAACTGTTGACACAGAGATATGTCTCGCCTGTAAGCAAAAAATTCAGAAAAAAAACAACCTGATGGACAGAAAAATTGCTAATTTATTCAAAGTTGCTGGGCCATAACCTAGCGGCAAGGCCTCGAAATGATCGACATTCTGAGATGTAGTGATAGTAGTGCAACTTTATAGAAAATATCATTGTCTATCATAAGTAGATGCTATCAAAGTAACGCAAGCAGAAAACTTAACATTGAAAATTGGTAATTGATTGAAAGTAACTGGACCATCACCTACGGGAACAAGGCCTCGAAATAGTCGTCAAACTGACATAAACTGGTAGTATCGCATCTTTATAGAAAAAATCATTGATCTATCACAAGTAGTTCCTTTCAAACTGACTTAAGCAAAAACTTAACATTGAAAATTGCTAACAATTCAAAGTCACCGGACCATGACCTAGGAGGCAGAGCCTCGAAATAGTCCTCAAACTGATATGTACTGATAATAATGCAACTTGATAGAAAATATTATTGATCTATCACAAGTTGTTCATATCAAACTAACTTAAGCAGAAAACTTAACATTGAAAGTTGCTTATTAATTGAAAGTCACTAGACCATGACCTAGGGAGCAGGGCCACACAATAGTCGTCAAACTGATATGTACTGAGAATAATGCAAATTTCTAGAAATTATCATTGATTTATCACAAGTAGTTCCTATCAAACTGACTTGAGCAGAAAACTTAACAATTGTTGACGCCGACGACGCCGCATTCGTTGTCGTCGGAAAAGCAATACCTATGTTTCGCTTATCGCGACTTTCATCGCAGGCGAGACTATAACTCACAAGAACAGTCATGCTGTGTATTGAAAGGTCAAGAGCAATATCAGTTAAAAATTTCCTGATTCTGGCAGCCGTCATGTCACCATCAAGTGGTCAATTGGGAACTTAGATGTGTTTTTCAATTTGAGTTGAGAAATCATGAGTTCAGGTGTCCTGTAAAACCGAAAATGCGTGAGAGTAAAAGCAATCAAAATCCATAAACGCAAAAAGAACAGATTTCGAAATAGTAATCTTGCTAAGACAAGTAAGGATATGGGAGCGTTTGGACGTCCGCACACAAATTTTAACCTCGCCACATTTTGTATGTGTCTTGTCCCAAGTCAGGAGCCTGTAATTCAGTGGTTGTAGTTTGTTGCTGTATATTATGTTCGATTTTCGTTTATTGTTTCATACATTAATCAGGCCGTTCGTTTTCTCGTTTGAATTGTTTTACATTTGCAATTTCGACGCCTTTTATTTAGCTAGTTATGCGGTATGGATTTTTCTCATTGTTAAAGGTCGTAGGATGACCTATAGTTGCCAACTTCTACGTCAGTTGGTTTCTGGTGGAGAGTTGTCTCATTGTCAATCATACCACATCTTTTTGTTTTTATAAGGAAGTCTTTATATTTGAATTATAATGACTTCCTTGTTTGAGCAAGATTACTGTCAGAAAATGATTTTACTCGAGCACTTCAATGATGATTTAGTTATAAGATATAAACACCACACGCATGTGACTGGTACATGACGCAAAAGGGAATTAGTTAACTATTTAATATTTTGTACAGTTTTATTTCTTCAAAATTTTAATGTACTTTTATATTAGTTTGTAAGTATGTATCAATGTACGAAGCAGATTTAGTTTAGTCTATAGTGTTTTTAAATATTGCTCTGTAGGATTGATAAAATGCGAAGGTGATTTCAGTCAGTGCTTCGGTACTGGTATAATTTTCAACATATTTTTTCTAAAATTCACTGTTGATAAATTAAGAAACCAATTAAACATAATATAGGTTTCAACTCCCTCAGGCCAAGTTGACCTTATCTCAATTTGGCTATTCTTTTAAGGCCTCCTTTGGTCATATAGCTCCTAACGCTTCTTTTTTCGTTTTGCTAGAATAACTCTTGAAATAAATCTACTTCGTAAGAATCTAAAAACAGATATGCGAGGATCGTGGCATAATTTATTTCACAATCTAATCTAGCATAAATGAGAAAATAATAACATGATTAGGGTTACTTAAAATGCATCGTCCGTGGTCGTCAGTGACGCATATATTCTGCATCGGTTAACCAAGGCATGGTAGTAACTGTAACGCTTTCAAAGTGGTAACCTAACATTTATCTTTTAGAACCCTAAGCTTCACAGCTTTCTTGTAAAAGAAAGTCAAAAGATACCGAAGGGACATTCAAACTCATAAGTCGAAAATAAACTTACAACGCCATGACGAAAAAAAAAGAAAAGAACCAAAAGACAAACAACCGTATAGAAAACTAAAGACTTAGCAACACGAACCCCACCAAAAACCGGGGGTGATCTCAGGTGCTCCGGAAGAGTAATCAGATCCACATGTGACACCCGTCGTGTTACTCCTGTGAAAACATGCTAATGTGTTATATCAAGAGATTAAGCATCACGCAATAGCGGATTGGTAATTGACTCTAACCCCAAGACATCACCAAATTCATAAACCATAGGTCAAGTAAATTTTCAAACCCTAAAACCTAACTGAACATGAAATTTTGAAATTGAAACAACGTTTTCCAGACAAAGGATAGACAAGACTTTTACCGTTGTAAACATCACATACATGTAACCAGCAAATAGTTGTGATAGACTCTTGATTCTCTTAACAAGGGCAATTGTATCAAGAGGAATTGTATCAAGACGCTGCTGAAATATTTCTATAATTTGATATTTACTGTAGCTCAATTAAATGAAACCATAAGTCCTTTAATGTTATCTTTGTTTTCGCAGCAGACAAAATTCATTTGAAGTAAAATATATTTCGTACTTTGCACATTGAGGTTCCTTTGAGAACTGTTGAGATTAATTTTCAATTGTGCCAATTATGGTTAAATCGCAATCAAAAAATTGATGGCCTAAGAGTGATGTGTAATTTTAGTTTACTTTTGTTGCTGGTGTTCTGTCTTGTATTCTATCAACACAAGTTCTAGCATCCCATTCCATTGTTAATTGATATCTTATGTTCATTGTGTAGTTTGCTGTTATGTTCATTGTGTAGTTTGCTGTTATGTTCATTGTGTAGTTTGCTGTTATGTTCATTGTGTAGTTTGCTGTTATGTTCATTGTGTAGTTTGCTGTTATGTTCATCTTTCTTTCGGTCACTGTCTATAGTCTGTCGATTTCATTTTGTTTAAATTCTGGTCATGTATACTTGTATCTAACCTTCTAATTCTCCAATTTGTTTGTTTTTTAATCTTTTAAGGTAATTTTCTTTGATTGAGTAAAATAAAAAGGGTTAATTTCCTAATTCTTTGAAAATTATGGGTCATTGACGTATGGCGAAATCTCTTTTCCTTGTTACATGATTACAAAGATAAAGATTGACCAGTTATGGTAAAAATATCATGTGTGATGTTATAGTGACGCCATGAACATGTCATATCTGATAAATTGGATAGGAAAGTGCCATTTTACACATATTTTTATCTTTTTGTGTTTCTTGGGGAAAGGATGGGGTAAAACTATAGATATTCAAATTGCATATCTGACTCGATCATAGAAACATCACAGTATGCTATACTTTGTGAGAAAAGTTACTTGATAAGCATATTGCTTATACATTTAGCTTACAAAAGAATAAATACAATGATCTCTATATGAGGATTTTTGAGAAGTTTTTATAGATTTTTTAATGTGCAAAACATGTAAAGGTCTGAAGCAAAACTCAAATATATCATAACTGATATCTGAAAGACTTGTCTGTCCTTCTTTGTTTTCCGTTGTTATCTCTGACATAATCTTGTTCTTCAAAACAATTGTTCATCCCTGAATACAATTTAACCTTAATGCAAGTTATATGTGATTATTGTGTATGTCTTTATTGATAACAAGTAAACAATAGAGAAGCAATCGCATTTTTAACCATGTTACAAAGACTTATGTTGAAAACTCACACTTCTGCTACATGTACATGATGTCAAATTGATATTTTTCATGAAAATAATCACAGAACTTCCAGTCTACTCCATTCAAAAATATATCTTTGTATAAAAAATATCACCTACATAAATAACAATCACACTTCCGTTAACAGTTTATCATCATTAATACTGCGACGATTTCCATTAATTCTCAACGAACCTCTAGCAATTAGTGACAGACGTCGAACGTTACTATCTTCTATATAAAATCCTGGAGTAAGACAACATGGACAGAATAATTCCTGAAAGTTTCTCCAAAATATTGTGTTAAATATGCAATAGATAATAAAATTAACACCGGTATTGATTAACAATAACAAATCTGTGATTTCACGTATACCACGAGCTAAATAATTTTCCTCATAATACCCGAGTCCAAGACACGTAGACATGATGGCATCTGGAACTATACAAATAAGAAAAACTATTATGATAACAATCAACATCACAGTTATTCGGTGTTTCCGACGACCAAGTCTACATCGTCGTATTCCGTATAGAATGCAAGTATTTAGAATAATGAGTAGGAATAAAGGAATGATGGAACGCACAAAGTAATGTAACCAATTAAATGTTTTAGCAAACGTTTCATTTGCCCATAAATCTGTTAGATGAAGATCGTAGCTTATACTTTGTGTCGTATTTTGTAAAACTTCTATAGTTTTATATCGCATAGCGTATGGAACAGAAAATACCATCATTATCACAAAAACTGTTGTTGATATTGTTTTGGCACGTGATATTGAACACAATCGTTTAACTCTAGTCGGATGACACACATATATGTACCGCTCAAAAGCAACCGAAACGGTTAGCCAGGCAGAAACACATAATGATGCATTAAATATATAGTGAGCGTAAGGATATACAAATCCTAAGGCTTTATTTCCGGTTGATGGATCTACTTCTGAAAGTAGTATAACAAGAAAGTAGAGAACATCACTGAGAATTTTGATGCAATCAGATATCGCCAATGAGAGAAGATATATATTTGTAGATGAACGCATTTGCTTCTGACACATGACGATTATTCCGAGGATATTTCCAATCATACCAAGAACACATACGGTTGGAAAGAATATCAGACCTGTCACAAATCGGGCTTGATAATAAAATTCCTTGAACTCAATTGGCTGTTCTGGTTGATTGGCCACAACACAGTTTTGACATCCCATTGCTGTGAATCGTCAATTCCTCCTCATATTATAACTGAAATGATAAGAAATGGTGTTAAAACAGAACTATAATATCGTTCCTTTACATCTGTAAGATAAAATATATTTTCTTTTTGACCAAAACGCTTTTACCGAACCCGATATCAGCGCAAAACGAAGAACACAAAACGGCACTGGAAAAACTTATAGCTATTTGACAAGTGAACATTATAAACAAGCAGCACCTAAAATTGCATCTTATGATGCGACAGACGGCATATATTTTACGAAAAATAGAAATGTAATAATAATTAGAGCATAACCATTTGTGATAACTGAGTGGAGAAGGGCAAAATGTTGTCACTCCTTTTAAAAAGGCATTTTTATATTGCACGCCTTTTTCCAAACTTGACTCAAACATCATTGGTTTTAAAGAAATTATTACAAGAAGATGTATTCAAAGATATAATCATATATATCTATAAGTCTAACACATATGGAAGAAGTAAAGACGTCTATGACCAATTTTGGTATTATTTCAATAAGACTTAGTATTCTCTGAAGATTTTGTTACGTTGTTCCATATGAACAATTTTTTTAAGTTTATATAATTCTGACAAACTCAATCTGTAGTTTGTAGCTATACTAGTATATTAGGTAGGTAATCTACATAATGTTGTAGAAAAAAAGTTTTAGTTATTCTAATGTGATAATTAATTATGAATTAGTCATTATAATGTTCTTGTTGTACGTACTGTCGAACTATGCCGATTGTCCAATAGGAGACACACGCAAAATCTCGGGATGCGGATTGTATATCTATGTTTATTATCAACATTAGCATTGTTAACTGATACAGTGCGTGTAGTCATTACTTTGTTGAACAAGTTTCGTTAAGTCATCTTTTTATTTCGGGGCCTTTTATAGCTGACTATGTGGTATGGGTTTTGCTCATTGTTGAAGGCCGTACGGTGACCTATAGTTGTTAACTTCTATGTCATTTGGTCTCTGGTTGAGAGTTGTCTCATTGGCAATTATAACACATCTTCTTATTTTGATATTTTCAGTTTTGTTAATCTTAGACCAATTTTATTGCTTTTGATAAAAGGATATGTTAGGGTGAGACATATATTTATAGTGTGTCCGTCAAAAACACAAACAATCGATCTATCAATCTTCACATACGATAAGTGTTGTATCAAGGATCGGAACAGGGAATGGTAAACCGTGAGCACCGATTGCGCGGTATTTATGTATAAGGGCACTTCCCATTAATTATCTTTACAAAAGGGCACCTTATTGCATTTATTCACCATATGCGTATTTCAAAAAGGTATATAGAACAAGAAGAACAAGAAGATATTTTATTACCAATTATGGAATATATGAATAAAAGGAATTATGAGGTAATTTTTAAGCATCACTGTAAACAGCAACCAAACAAAACCACTCAACAAAAAAAAAAAACGGTCATGTATTATAGGTCATCAAATAGTCTTCAACAATGAACAAGCGTCCACAACATGCATTGATTGACCTGTGACTAGAAGAATATAGCAGAATAGCAGAGAAAATGAATGACCTACTATGGGCAAACATATTTTACTATTGTGCCTACATGATAGGCTGTAACAAGTTGTAAGGAGAAAATATATTCCGGTATATAAATCGTGCTTTTGGTCACGATTTCGTCATCAAGCGTCTCATTTCCAGAAATTTTTAATTCGTTTTGCCAGATTTTCCAATGCAATAAACTTAATATGGTTTCGTAATTCATCCCACGGGCATACTTGATCTAGTGTCTATATAGTAATCGTGCTACTTTTACATCAGGTTTAGTTTTCGAAATTATCGAGAAATTTATCTTACAATCATTAATTAAAGTTACCATTCCTGTTTCAATTATGTCTTTGTTAAAATTTCGCCACAGGTTACAATGTTTCTTCATTATGTGACAAGTTTAAACGAAGTTTTACTCGGTAACGTTTCTTCATTATGAAATATTAAAAAGGATTATCAAGTTAGCCTATTGATATGAGTCTGTTTATTATCCAGGGAGCATAATCAGTGTAGTAATATATCTTTCATGGTATCACCTTAGCATGGTACCTTGAGAAGTATGGTGATGATTCGTAGAATGTTAACATCAAGTAGATTGAAATATGACATGCATTTCAGGACGAGAACATGTTAGAGGGTCTGGATTAGGTTTACAGAATAAAAAATAATGGGGCCAATACTACAGAATAATTTGAGAAAAATAGGCCAAAAAGAAATAAAGAATAGAGAATAATGGGCAAAACATATAAAGAATAGAGAAAAATGGCTTTAAAAGACTAAAGAATACAGGGACCCCCATCCAGACCCTCATGTTACTGTCATATGAATATTAACCCTGCTTTGTACTAGTTTGACACGCTGAGTCGTAATTTTAACGTGCTATTTTACATTCCGTAGAAATACATGTTACCCTACCTTCACACATTATTCTGACTCCGAGCCGATCAGTCTTTGCACTAACTCCTAAATGTCGCGTGCTTAGCGGAAAAACAGCAGATGCCAAGTTTCCTGTTTGACCCAGTGGGGATCGAGAATAAAACCTCATGTGATGAGAGCACACTACTACAAGACCACCGATGCGGTTTATGGAATATTTACCTTAAGACAAGTTTGAAGTCATATAAAACAAGTTTCTGGTGATTATAATGTAATAAAATTATTGAACCAGTGCATGTATATAGACTACACTTAGTCATCTGTGTAAGTTAATTTTATGTTTATTACGAATCCGTAACGTATAATGCACAAAACATATTCTATCATAAATTCTTTGTAGTAGATATCATTAGCTTCTTATCAACTTTCGGGGTTTTGTGCCGAAGTTTACCGAAACTGACCTTGATAAACAATCAACAGAATTATGGAGCACGTGAAAAAATAGTGAGTTGAGAGATTTTCGTTTGTTTTTTTTTTTTATATTGTCCATGAGTTCCAATTAGTTATTAAGCTTTGTCATAACAGTTGTTTAAAGTGTTGGTGTATTAAAACTTTTCTTTCAGAACGGATTGATAATATCTTCTTCCCTCGTTTGTTTACCTTATCTTTCGTTACGGGTTTTCCCTTTGCACTTGCACTGCGTTGTTGCCGAATTTCTAACAATTATTGCCATTGAAAGTATTTACATGTAAAATTACTGTATCAAACAGACATTACATAACAAATTTTACAGTAATGATCTCAATGACCTTGTGGAGCTTATACCGGCAAAATTGCCTAAGCAATTTTATCATGTAAATCGTCATTTGATTTTTTTTTCTAATTTTACAACTTTTGTTAATTTTACGACTTAATAATCAGATGGCGTCAAATCTGAACAAAATAACTTCAGTGCATCGGAAAAAGTTATAATTAATTACAGTTACGTTCAATGTTGTAAATTTAATGTATTTTCTGTGTGAGGCAAATATGAGTCATATGACACTCTGGTTGCATTATTTATAAAAATTCGCAAAGACTCTGTGTCTCCCTTGCGATTGATGCTTTCAGTATCAAAGTGTAATGTTGACTGTATAAAGTAAGTGCATTCATCAGTAAAATACAGGTTTTTTTTTTTTTTATTTAAATCAAACTTTTTTCTTCCGATGCTATTTCTTGATCTTGAAGATAAGCTTCTGCCAAGATTCATAACAATCAATGAAGGTTTACAAATTTATAATGTCAAGAAAATAAAATCACAGACTGTCTGTAAATGTGTATTGCAAAAAGTCCATCTATCAGTAAAATACTGAAAAAAGAAAAAATATATATTTTTCAAACTTATACTTCAGACATTATCTCTTAATCATAAAAAAAGTTTCTGCCAAAGCTTCACAAATTCTATGACGGTCTTACAAAGTAATTGACGTCTAACAAACTTTAAAACCAGACTGAATCTACATGTTAACTTCCAAAAAAAACCTAAGTCCTTTTATCCGTAAAATACGGAAACATGAAAAATCAATATTTTCATTATGTTGCTCTGGGTACTGTCTTTTGATCATAAAAGGCTTTTGTCCAATTTATGCAAAATTCCATGAAGGTTTGACAAAGTTATTGATGATTGAAAAACTTTAACAACCTTTGACTGTATTTAAATGTTAACTATAAAAAAAACTCAGTTCATTTATAAGAAAAATACAGAAAAATGAAAACATTAATCCAAAATGTTGCTCTGGCTATTGTTTTTTTTTGTCATAAAAAAGTTTCTGTCCGAATTTCATAAAATTTCATGCAGTTTAGACAAAGATAATGATGTTAAAAAAAACTTTAACCACAGACAACCTAAATGCGACCCCGCTGACGGAATATATGATAGCTATAATGTTTCGCTCCCTTAAAGGGGTGAGGGGAGTATGAATTTGTAATGGCACTGGGGAATGAGAGTTAAGTGAGGGACAGAAATTGTGCCTTGCAAAACGCCACCAACGAACCCCTTAAAGGTTTGTTACAAGTGTTTTTTTCAAACGTACAGAAATCGTAGTATCGTCAGATTTCACGTCCCTATTCCGACCGGACGTGACTGCGTATTTATACATCTTGCACTACCGAACGGGCTGAGTTTTGCTAGCTTTGGTTTAGCTACAGGAAGTCTAGGAACCACATTTCTATTCACCAGTCAACACTTTAAGCTAGTTATTCCGACCTTATTCTCACCACACTTTCTTGCATATGTATAACGGTGAAAAAGTGTATAAGTATCAAGAATAACTGAAGACGGTAATCAAGCTGGACACGGTTTATCACGGACGCACGGGAAACCGGATTACTTTAAGGCTCCTGAAAAGTCTGTCTAGAACAGAATGAATTTCAAAAAGTATCGTATAAACTAATATTCCTCAATGTAAGTGCATTTATCGAAATAGATTTCCAACGTCATAAAAAGTCTCATATATAAAGAAGTCTTGACATTCAATACGAATCAACACTTGTAATACAGTCTGTCAGAGGACAAACCTTCTGATTTGTAAGACTTCACCAATATATCAGTTGAAACCAAAAC